TATACATTAATATGTAATATTAATTAACAATTTCAGTCCAATATTAATTAACAAAAATTATTATGATAATAATTTTCTGGTATTTACAAAATTATTTTCATAACATACAATGGTAAACAATCAATAATATTGTATGTATTAAATAATATGCAATACTGTATATATTAATTTATTAAGAAGATTGTATGAATGAACATGACACAAAACATTGATTCAAGATTCAAATTACTACTCTTCTATTACCATATGTAAATTTTCTGAATTTGTTGTCATTGCCCAGTGCTACAAATTCTCTAACAGATCAGAGAGATCATGACATATAGGGAAGTGGACAATTATTATTTTAGCTTCATATTACTATTATATTTGGTATCATTGTTTTGATAGTAGCCAATAATTTGCAAGAGTGTGAATCAGATCATAACAGGGAGCATTTGTTTAGTGAAAATATGGTTTTACTTGAACAAGAGGGTAACCATAAAACTTTATTAAACAAAAAAGATTTAAAAACAATTTCAAACTGATAAACAAAAATATTACTTTTTTTTTGAGAAAAAATCTGGAATTAGTCCAATAAATTTCAAGTCTAAAGCTGATCCCAATCCATCTGTCAATGTGATAAGATAATTGATAATGTAGGAAAGTTGCAATTGTGCTGTGAGAATCAGTAGTATAAAGAAACACAGATGTATCTCAAATTTGAAAGCAAATTTGGTTAGCTGAAAACATTCTGGCAGATTTATAAGTCTTTTTTTTTTGCAATGGCAGTTATGAGATCTACCCAAAATATATTTTTAAACACAATTTCCCTTGCATTTCGCTTAAACATTAAGTTTTAGAACCCTAAAAGTCTTCTATTACTTTGTCTATGGATTTTTCATGTTTCCAAATATTTTCAAGGTTCTAATACTACGAAAACTAGTCTGATAAACATTAGATTCAACATTTATGCTTTGTATAATTAAATATTAATCATAATTTATCAAATATTAATCAAATATTAATATTAATCAAATAAAATAATATCAAATATTAATATTAATCAAATAAAATAATCAAATATTAATAGAACCAAAAAAGATTTTTAGATTTCAAACAATAGATAAAATTGTAAAAAATATTAAAAAAACACAGATAAATAATTTACCGTGAAAAATAATTATTTATCAAAATAATAACAAAAACTTGAAAAATATTAAATGAAAACTTACCATTAAATTAAATTGCTTAGGCTTGTTGTAAATCTCAAACTTAATCCTTTTTGGTTTTAAACTATTAGTTTATGATTCAAAAGTTAAACATCAGATTCTGAAGTTTAACTATTTAAATCATTGCTAACAGGAACAGTTGAGGTAGCTATGAACCCTAAATAAGACGAGAAAAATTAGATATTGCAGTAACACTTAAAATTTGATTGATGTGTGTTTATATATATATATATATATATATATATATATATATATATATATATATATATATATATATATATATATATATATATATATATATATATATATATATATATATATCAGGGCTCGAACTAAGTGATCGCGAATTGCGATATCTGGAAATGCTTCCGGTCCTTAAAATTTTAGCTTTTTAAAAACCGTAAAACTGTTTTGATCTCTAAACTCAATAGATATCATTTAATAAGAAATATTTACGTTGATTATGATATAAAATCTTAATGTAAAACCATATTATCACTATTATTTTTATTATTATTAAAGATTATAATTTAAACTTTAATATTTTAATTTATTTTATAAAACATTAGATAAAACTAGAAAAATAAAGCACGATAAAGTGCGTTATAAACATTAAAAAACAAGCACTAATTACAACAATCTAAAGGACTTTAACAGTGATCAAATATTTTAAATAAAAGAAATTGTTAAATAAGATATAAAATACTTTTATATCTTATTTAAATCTTATTTAATATTTTCTTATAAATTTAACGCTTGTAACGCTTTAGCTGATACGAATATAAAATTAAAAGACGGAGGAGTTAATATATAAAAACTAATTTAAACTTTTTAATAGTTACTTTAAAACAAAAAAAAAGAAACTCTAATAACATATTTTAAAAAAATATACTTTATAATTTTTTTTCTTGTTAAATAATTAAATTGTTATTTAAAACATTTAAATTTTTAAATAAATAATTCCATAAACTTTCCCCCTAAATAAAAATCTATTTTAATGTTTTATATAATGTGCAAGTAGCTTTAGCATTAGGGCTGTAAATCCTGGCTCGTGTTCCTGAACAGCTCGTTGATCGGCTCAACAAGAGCTCGTTCATGTTCGACTCAATTGGTAAACGAGCTGTGCTTGAACAAAAAATTAGGCTCATTTGTTAAACCAGCCGAGCTTGAACATCATAGGCTTGTTCATATAAGCTCGATTAAAGCTCGAATATATATATATATATATATATATATATATATATATATATATATATATATATATATATATATATATAGTAATTTCGCCGGTTATCCGTTTCAAAAACAGTTCTCATCAATTTGCGGTTAACCAACTATTCGGTAAATTAGTGACGCTTTCTAAAATACAGGATCTTCTAAATTTCAACATACGTAGCGTTTTAAACTAATTTTTTAAAAATTAATGTTAAAGCGTACATTTTCAAGACAGTTAGTGAATACAGTCCTATATTATATATTTATAACAAAACATGGAAAAAGATATATATATTTTTTATATTATAATATAATATACCTTTTTAATTATATAATTAAAAAAGGTAGGAATAATGTATCAATGTTTTAATATCAGCGGATGTTTTAAATATTTTAATATCAGCGATGTTTTAAATGTTTTAATATCATGATGTTTTAAATGTTTTAATATCAGTTTAAATGTTTTAATATCAGCAGATGTTTTAAAATCATTCTCTTATATAAAAACATTTGATTTGGAAAAATAAGATGTTATGAAATAAATTTTTTTAACGTGTATTTTAAAACTTATTGTTATGCGGACATAGATGGAAACATAGATAAACTTGAATGTTCTCAAAACAACTTGTTGCGTAAAGATAATATAAAGAACATTTGCTAACACTAAAATACCGCCAAATCTACGAATAAATTTTTAAAAAACTATTACGCGATAAGTTAAAATTTCTTTATTGACAAATTTATGAAATGTTCTTTGAGGTTTAGTATGAACATAAGGTTAATTAAATGTTTTGTACATGCACTTGCAATATCGAGAAGTTATACTATTGGAGTCGGAGTCGCAATTTTGTTTAGCGACTCCGACTCCTAAAAATGTTGCAACTCCGCAAATCCGACTCGACAACCCTGCTTTTAAGGTATCGAAGTCTACATTATTGACTAAACTTAAATCTGCCATAAATTCTAATAAAGTTTTTTGAGTTGCAATTTTTGTCTTTATCAATGGCTCTAGCATTATTGGTATCGTGTTCACATGAGTTTTTATATCAAGATGAAATTCAATTTCTTTTCCAAGTAGAGCTTTAACTTTTAATTGAATAACTTGATTGTGAACACTTGACAGTTTGATGTATTTTAATCAATTTGTGTGAGTTTTTAAGTTAAATCATTTTAGTAAACATCTTCACACTCATTATTTATAACTTTAAATTGGTGTTTTGTCAAAAGAGTCATTTTCATTATTATTAAAATCACAGGCCCCACTTGAGTCTTGCTTTTGCAGAAGCCTTATTACATCGCTTTTGTTAGCGGGGAGTTAAAATTATTTCAAGCTATTGACAGTGAAATTTATTTATTTCTGGTTATGGCTCAAATTGAAATGCTATTCGTAGCTAAATCAGAGACAATATTTTGAAGCTTCTTTTGCACAAAGAAGTTGCTAACAGTTTTTTTATCTCTTCTCACTTGCTCTTTCTTTTCTGTTAACATAATGGTACATTTGTTTTCTGTTAACCATTTCCTTGCTATTAAACATTATTCTTTGTTTCTTAGTAACTCTTAACTGGTTGATTGCAGCCTTTTAGAGAGAATTAGTATTTAAAAAAAAAAAATAATAATATTTGCCATGTCTAATAGCATCCATCTAACAACATTGGTAAATACAATGAAGTGTAATAATATGTCTAACAACATCTGCAATTACATATTTAATAACATCTGTATAAAAAAAATATGAATATTACTGATGTAGTTATATCTTATCAATTATCTAAGTATAACAGCATCTGCGGTAAAGGTGCAGTGCTTGCTTTATAAGCAAGAAGTGCCAAGTTCAACCCTTACTATGTTCCTAGTAGTACCGTGCTTAACTAATTTATTCTAGTTTGACTGCACCAGTTGCACCACCTCTGCAGCATCTCTAACCATATTGTTACTACTGTTTTACTACTGTAGAAACTACTGTTTTATGATAAATAAAGTAAAAATATAGTTTTGTTTGTTAGAAAGTAGTGCTAATAAATAGCAAAAAAGTTAGTTTAATGACTACTGTTTTATGATGAATAAAGTAAAAAAATAGTTTTGTTTGTAAGAAAGTATTGCTAATGTAATAAAATTTTTTATGTAAACAGGGCGCAACAAATCGACAAACGTGCAAACATTTGTTAAAAAAAAAGGATAGAAAAACAAACGTCACGTTTCCTTAATTTTACTTGAGCAAACATTGGCACTCAACAACTTTAAAAGAAACCATGCTAATAATTTCTTAAATAGTATAACTTTTAAGTTTAATAATTAAGCACACAACTGAAGATGCATTTACAAAAGCATGAGTAGATAGAAAATGCCGGTTCGGGGACATTTTTCATTTTCAACCATATTTTCAATCATATATTTAATTAAATATATGATTCATTATCATTCCTAGTGTGTATAAGTTATATAACTAAGAAATAAATTTTTAGATCACTTCGTGACCAATGCTACGCTTAAAAATTAGTATCAATTTTGTTTCTATTGCGTGACGTCACAGGTCACGTGAGTTTCTTGCTGTTTCTTGTGCGCATGCGCTGGATTTGCTTATGAAAATCTAGATTGATATTCACTAATTGCCAATCCCATTATAGCATAATCGATTAAATTTTCAGGTCCTCTTAAATTTAATGAATGTAAATATTTAAGGATATGTAAATGACAATTAATAGTAGCATAAATAAAAGCTTCATCAGTTACTTTATAATTTAACGATATTAAATATTTAATTACTTCAAGATGACCATTTTTAGCAGCATTATCAATTGCATTTTCTGTACCTTTATACCCTAATTCATGTAAATATTTAATTACTTCAAGATGACCATTTTTAGCAGCATTATCAATTGCTACATCTGTTCCTTTTTCTCCTAATTGAACTAATAATTTAATTAGATCATTTCTACCTATTTTTGCAGCAAAGTCAATTTTATTCCAATTATCTTTATAACCTTCTCTTTTTAATATTTCAGTAATATAATATATTTGAGTTGAAGGCTTAATTATGTTTTTTATTAAAAAATTATTATTCTCAATATTATATTCCATTCTTTTTATATAGAAAAGAAAATTATTTAACTCATTTTAAAAAAATTATTTTAATTTTCTTGTAAAAATATATAAACTTTATCATTTGCTAGAGTTGTAATTTGAAGTTGTTGTTACAGTAGTATTTGTATTAGCATTACCAGAAGTAGCTGTTACACATATATTCACATTTACATTTGAGTTGTTCATTTTTTATATATTTAATATAATTATTTAATTCACTCTGTGAATCTGGATCCCAAAGGGATCTAAATATTTTTCAATTCTTTATTATCAACCCATGAGTTAAAAGTATCAGGATACCCATACCACTTTACAAATGATTTATTTCCTTGTTTACGAATAACCTTTTCAATTCTAAATATCTCTTGACTTGTTTTTTGAAGTTCTTGTTCATAAAAAGTACCTTGTATTTCTTCATTATTATAATCAGTTATTTTATAAGTAGGTGGATCTGTGTACTGAACTTGTGATACTGTGAATACTTCTTCAGTCCATCTTGGTGTATATCCTTTTTCAAACGCTCCTTTCTTTTTAATTATTCTCACTTTATCACCTATTGAAAACTTAGGTTGAATAGGATTTGATTTTACTTTACCATTTAGATTAAACCAAATTTTATTTTCATTCTTTTTATCGCTTGCTTCAGCTGGAGTCATTTTAATTGAAGAATGCTTTGTGTTGTTGTATTGATTTACCATTTCATCTAAGACATCAATGTATTTTCTCGTAGAATTAGCTGAAAAGTATTTGAACATTTTTTTTTTTCATTGTTCTATTCCATCGTTCAACAACGCAACTTTTTTCTTCATTTTCAGTTGAATAGAGATGAACTCCTAATGCTTTAACATGTTTGTTATAAAATTCCAAACCTTTATCAACCCATAATTTATCGCATTTCCTAATTTTAAAGATTTTATTGAATGCATTAGCAACTTCAACTCCAGTTTTACTTTTCAGTGGAATTATCCATCCATACTTTGAAAATATATCAATTACCATTAATAAGTATTTTATACCATTATTAAATTTAGAAAAAGTTTGCATGTCAACTAAATCAGCAGCCCATATTTCATCAATAGCATTTGCAAACACTTTTCTTTTTCTAAAATGTTTTATAACAGGTTTATGAAGTTCATTTGCAAGTTCATCAGTCCATTTCAGATTCCGAATGGATCCTTGCTTTGCTACGTCGTTTGCTTTTTTCCTGTGCGCTGGTAGTTTTTTTGACATAATTCTTTAAGGCTCATTGGTTCTTTATTTCCCATACCAAACCTTACTTTAGCAGATATAATAGGTTTTATAATCTTTCTTTCCAATTTTTCACGAGGTGTAGGATTAGGTATAGCATCCATTTGTTCAAGCATCATTTTATCAGCTAAATTTCTATGTTCTTTATCTGTAAAATGTTTATAAGCAATATCATGAATATAAGCTGCTTTATCAACTCTATCTACAGGCATACTCCATTCTTTAGGCATCTCAGTAGAAGTTAATCTTTCATCTAAATTAGTACCAGGTCCTGCAAAGTTCATACCTGGTATATGCATTTCACCTGGAAACTTTTGCAAAGGTAATTTTCTATTACTTGTGAATTTATTAATTGATTCTACCAAGTCACCTCCTTTTTTAGCTCCTTCAGATCTTGTTTTTCCTTTTGTAAATTGAGTTTTTGTTGTTCCACATAGTGCACAATTTCCACGAAGCATATTTCTATTGTTTTTACTCACAGCATGTTGTAAGTTGAGTGTATCTGTTTTGTTTCTACATTTAACGCAATACATTTTTTATTACTTTATTTTTATTTAATTTAAAAAAATTATTTATATAAGAAAATGGAAGTATTAGATTTATCATATAATGTAAATAAAAATAATCGTCATAATAATGAGTTATTACCAAGAAGTATAAGAGGACTTATAGTTGGGAAGTCTGGTTGTGGAAAAACAAATTTATTATTAAGTTTACTTATAAGACCTGATTGGTTAGACTATAATAACTTACAAGTTTTTGGAAAATCTCTTTTTCAACCTGAATACAAAATATTAAAAAGTTCTTTTGAAAAAAAAGTACCAAAAGAAGATATTCTTAAAATATTTAAGTTACAAGATAAAATAGATAAGATGGATATCAGCCCTGATCTTGTAATTGAAGTCCATTCAAAAAATTTAAAAAATAAAATAGATATGGAGTGTCAGTTTTATGAAACAGCAGATGATGTACCAGAACCTGAAGATCTTGATCTTACTAAAAATAATTTAATGATATTCGATGATTTACAATTAACAAAGCAAAACAAGTGTGAAAAGTACTATATAAGAGGAAGGCATAGTAATGTAGATTGTTTCTATTTAGCGCAAAATTATTTTATGCTACCAAGGAAAACAATAAGAGAAAATGCAAATTTTATATGCTTGTTTAAACAAGATTCAAAAAATGTAAATCATATTTATAATGACCATGTTTCAAATGATATGTCAAAAGAAGAGTTTAAAAACTTTTGTAAAATAGTTTGGTCAAAACCACATAAATTTATTGTTATTGATTTATCATCAGATGTGAAAAATGGAAAATATAGAAATGGTTTTGATCGTTTTTATTTTCCTTTATCTGTTTTAAATGGTAGATCATGAAAGGATCCAACGAAGTCTTGGTTCTTTCAGAACCTATGCTAAATGAAATATATATTTATGAAAATATATATTTATATCTAGATCCTTTCAGGACCTAAAGAATCCAACCTAATAATGGGATATTTTTAAATGGTGAATTTTCACCTAATATTAAACCTTTTCCTACTTTTTTATATTGTTTATCGTTTCCAGTTCCTTTTCCATAATAGTAGTAATACCCATTTCCTAAATACCTTCCTTTTTTCCATTCATCTATTAGTAATCCTTTTCCTACTTTTCTAGCTTTAATAGATCTTTTATTATCTTTAATATACAAAACACCTTTTCCAGCAATTTTATTAACTATAGTGCTTCCAGCAGCTGCAGCTGTTCCAGCTAATAATGCTGTTGCAACAGTAGGAACAACTTTTGCAGTTAAAAAACTTCCAAGTAATCCTAGTAAAGGTAGAAATCCACCTTCCACTTTAGAATTATGCACGAGATTTTCTTCATTTAATTCAATTGTTATACCTTTTTTATTTTTAAATGCATTGATTACTTTCTCTAATTGTTTGTGTGTTAGAGCTACTACATCTTTAGCATTTTTATCACTTAGATTTTTAAAAGTTAATTTTATAGTAATTTTTTTTGAATCATTCTCAAGTTCTTTCTTGATTTTCTTCTTTTGATAATCTGAAAGTTTAAATTTAATATTTTTATAATCTGTCATTTTATATATACACAATTTTTTTAAATCTCTTTTGAGATTCATACTTCGTTTGGTCTTTCAGGCCTAAGAAATAATCTATTTTTTATATTTTAAAATGTTTATCAATTCTTTTAGAAGTGATACTTGTTCTTTTAAAATAGATTCTTGCTCGCATTTAGAAGTTCGTTCTCTTATATGAAATTTCATTGTTATTCTTTCTCCTTGCACATCAATTGGATTTTCATCTTGATCAATTAATGAAGTTTCCATATCACGAATATCTCCTCTTAGAGATATAGGTAAGTAAATGGGAACATTGGGTTTTTCTACAAGTTTAGCTCCAGGAGCTACAGAGGGGTAAAACGTATAAATAATATTGCTAGGTGAATTATCTAAATAAGATCCTGATATAATACTATTTTTTACATGTATAGTATTAATATGATTTATATCTAATGCTTTTACAGATTCATAAACACCCACAGTATATATTTTACTTTCAAAACCTAAAAGATTTCTGATTGAATTTTCAATTGTAAAATCAACTGCAAAATTTGTTTCAATACCCATTATAACTTTAAATGTTGTTGTACTTCCTACAAAAGTAATTGAATTCAAAGGAAAATGAGAAGCAACTAATTCTTTTTGCAACCAGTCATTGATCGATGAAAGTTCATAGACCCCTTCTGGAATATTACGATTAGCTGTCGATGTATTTTTAGTAGTTGCATCATAAATAGTATAAGTAAATTTATTGTTGTTTGCAGTAATATTATTAAGTATATTATATGTTTCTAAGCTTATTAATGCCATTTCATATTCTTTTTTTCCATCAAGTGGAATAGCTGGTAAAAACTTTCTTCTTATTGTTGAAGTATCTCCTCCAATACATATATCCATTTTTATATATGTATTATTATTTTATATCATTTTTAAATATAAAAAATTTAACTTTACTGCTTTACTTCCCTTAGATGAAATGTATTATTAATCTTTCTTTACTCATATCTATAGCATAACGATCGTCATCCACTATTTCAACTGTCATTTTTGAAAGTGTGTTTGTTCTTAATGGAAAATAACTTTTAAAACTTGGTTCTTCAACAAGACTCAAACCTGAAGGACGAGTCATTGGTAAGAATGTATGCATTACAGTAGTTTTCTTACCATTTATATTTTTTCCATCTACGATATTATTTAATATATGCAAACACTTATTTTGAGATGAAACGCTGTAGTGAATAGTTTCTAATCTTATAAATGCCATTTCGTATTTTTTTGTTTTATCAAGTTCAATAATAGGATCAAATTTAATTGTAGTAATATTTGATTTATTGTTATGTACTTCAATATCCATTCTTTATATATTTATAATTAATACTTAAATTATATAAATCATTTTTTATATTATTAAATAATATAAAAAATTTTTTACTCTTCATCTTCACTTTCTAAATCAATATCTTTAATATAAAGTCTTTCTATCTTATACTCTTTTTCATATACAACTGCATCTAATAATTTTACTTGAATAGATTGAATCATCGATCCGATATATACACCTTCAATTGCTAAGCATCCAACAACGTCACATCTTTTTTTAATAAGACTTTCTCCTAAAATATCGCCATCATTTTTTTTCCTGAATACTTGATCCATCTTTTTACTTTTATAATCTGTTGGTATTTTTGCATATATAACTGGAGGTGCCTTAGGATTATCATTTCTATACTTTAAAATGTTTAAATTGTGAATATTAAGACTTTTCATACCACCTTTTTTTAACTTTGATTCATTTTCAGTAACTTTATCTCTACAAAATTTTTCAATAGCTTCAATAATTGTGATAAATATATCATTTTCACATACAAAAGGAATTGAATATCCTGTAAGTTTTTTTGTTTTTAAGTCTATATTTTCATTTACTCCATATGAAAACGATTTTGGGGTTTTTACTCTTAAAGTCTCTGAAAAATCTGAATAGTTGTAGCCAATAACTACTTTTTGATATGGAACAGGTTTATTAAATTTAATTATTTCTTTTACGTATAAATTTGCTTCATCAAAATTTTCAATACTCACATAAGACATCTTTTTTTATATATGCAAGAAAATTATTTAAATCATTTTAATTTTTTATATTATTATGTTGTAAAATGATATAAATAAATAAACATCTTTATAAAATGAATAAAATGTTTCTGAATATTGAAAATAGTAAAATAAAAAAAATAGGTTTAATATATAATCGGAATTTAGATCATACTCCATCTTTTGTTAATAATAAAAAATATAGAGTATTTGCGCAGCAAGATTTCGTAGTAAAATCAAATTCATA